ACTCACCTCCTGTCATTAATAAAATAAAGATTATAGGTACACTAAAGCTAGCATAATCTACAATTTTATAACATGACAGGAGGCTTTGTATTTGCTGTTTTAACGCTCAGTCAACAAATCCAGCCCTGTTTGTTTCGCTGGTACCTATTCCGGGAGCTGTCCGAGCAATCCTAAATGGACTTTCCAACTGCGATAAATGACAATAGACCGATCGGTGAAGATGCCAGTTGACGAAGCATCCCAAATACGGGAAAAAAAACACCATCTGCTGATAGATCCATTGTACGTGGGGTTGCGACTTGTTTCCTACCAGCCAGTCCATGAGCTGCCAAGCTGACCTATTAGCCATTTCCCTGTAGTTATAAAATGTTGAAGGTCATTTGCGGACTTAGGGCCGCGATAAGACACTGCCACCATGTCTCATCTCTTGATGTGTAAGGTGGCTACACCGATCGTGCCCGGGTCACACGGCGATGTAGCCTTGCAGGCAGATCTTCAATCTCAAGGAATGCGCCTAAGTCCAATTCTGCAATAGAACCGAGTAGGATCTTTCGTTCCCTGATGGCCTTCCCGGTGAGATGTCTCATCCGAGAATACATTTATTATGCAGGCAAGAGTGTGGCAAACTAGCTCTATCCCAAGTGATTCCAATATTCCAACTGGACTGTGTAATCCACGGCTGCGGTAGAGAAAGGACTCCAAAAAGGACGTCCAATCAGGGTACCAAACTGAACTTATGTGGTGGAACGGGTCCCGGAAATATTCAAAGGGATGGGAAATGTAAACCGGAGTTGAGATTCCCATCCAGATGTCAACGTCTAAGAGTGATAAGATGTACGGATCCAATGGCGATTGGGACCTGTATAACAACGAAGAGTCCTCACGTGCTGTAGTGAGAGAGTGAAATAGTCCGACTACCCGTCGTACGATCCTGTTCCATGCCCGACCTGTCAAAATGCGTGTAGGGGTTCCTTGTATACATGCCACCTACAAGATAGGGTATAATATAGTGAGACCCTTAGGTCCCTGTACCCCTGACTGTCCGGGCACGTATCTCCCAGAGTAGGCCCCATGTCAAGGGACCCAGGAATGTGATTTTGATAATTGAAGTGAAAGTCTCCCTATAGAGGGATACCTCCCTTCTTAGCTTGGAGTCCCGCGAACACATAGCATTCTCCAATACGCAGGCAAGGTGTAAAGTCCCTTCGCTCATGACAGGTGACTCCAGAGAGCAGATATAGCGAAAAAAGAAGGGTCTAGCTTCAGCTGTCCGAAACATGTGTTGTCCCGTTTGAGAATGTCGGCAGCCCTATCTGAGTCTGCTACACATCCTGAGCCGTACTCCAGTGGTAGGTTGTGACCTGACTTTTACGTCTGTGTAGGAGTCGGGGCACACCAGGTTCCTCCATAGAGTCTCGCAGGTCTCCTTGATGGTAGTTGAAAAGGTGGGTTAGCGCGAACCCAAACCAAAACGGCTCTCATGAGGGATATATAGAGTATATCCGAACCATGTTCTCCAGGTATGTGCTCAGAGGAGTAGGGGCAATCCTGCCATCTTATCCCAAGATTGTAATGACCAGGGAACACAAGACAACCGGGGTTTTCTGGTCTTACCATGCGATCCATGCGTATGGTGTACTTTCAGACTGGGTAGTAGGCCTTTCCTAGTCTTGTTACCCGAGCAAGGCAGTGCCTGTATGCTCCATGAAGGTCTCCGTATCTCATGTCATCTTGATATGGGAAAAACTGTCTGCGCAGTTTGTTCACAATGGTTCGGATATCCAAAACAGAATGCAATTCTCTGTTTTATATAGCGCAGAATATACCAAAACCTGCACTCTTGTAATACCTGAGGCTCATTCGTTAGCCATACCGTCTCCAGGAGTGTGTGTAAATAAGTGGGAGTCTCCCTCGTTATACCTCTGTGAGTATTTCTCACGTGTGGTACAGTGGTCCGGATCCAGTAGATCCATTACAGGAGATAAAATAGAGGGATCCAGTCTAAATATGTATATCCTGCATGATCAGGCAGCCCTCTATAACGAAATCAGTAGCACGTTCGTTAGATCTAATTGAATGCAGGAGGGACGCCCCTCTATGTAGTCATCGAGGTCTTGTACAGGTACAAGCCTGTGTGATGAACAAATGGACGGCACCATTGGGCGTTGAGTGTATGAGAGAGCCGCGCTCTCTAATAATGTGACCGAATTCCGTGTCAGTGTCTGGCTGATAGCCTGAGCGGGCCGTACCCATTAATAACCAAACAGTAGAGTCTACATCCGTGACAGGTTCTCTCTATGAGAATGTGTCACTCCAAACATGTCCTCTGTATCCAGCTCAGTATCGGGCTGAGGTTGAGGGAGGGCCACGCCCTCTAATAACAAATCAGTGTCCGGTTCTGTATATGAGAGGGGTTTGCTCTCTGTTCCTGAAAATAAAATATAATTCTCGGATCGAGGTGATGGAGGGCCGCACCCTCTTGTGATCCAAACTAGACTCAAGGTGACCAACTGCAGGGGTACACCAATTACTAATATCAGCATAAGACTGAGGTCCTTAGGTGGGTCTCTCCCCGACCACGAGACCTCAGGTGAATGGTTCACCTGAAAAGGAATCAACTGGTAGTAAACCAGACCGATGGCAGATGGGATAGTATACAACCTCGGGCCATGTCCATTCTTAATAACAGAAAGGGATGGTGCGAAAATGCAACCTTCAGAAACAATGATGGAAACTACCAACGGACTGCCCGGATCCCGTGCGCGTGGGGTCCAGGATGACCGTCGGTAGCCTGAGGAAAGCTCGAGACGTTCTCCGCAATCCACGAGCGCCCGGGAGGTCGGAGGACATCAAGTCAGGCCTCTCAATGACCTGAGCGATAGGACAAGGAAGGCACGAAAACAAAAACAATAATAAATGTAGATAAGGGTAAATACGTAAATTCTAACTCGGATAGAAGGCAAATAGCAGACTGGAAGGCAAGTCAAGTAAGCCCCACTGAACAGGGCCAGGAGCTAACCTTACACAGGAATAACTACCGATATCTAGATGGATATCGGGAGGCAGCTAGAGGGTTAGTTGTTAAAGACAAGGAAACACCGTGTCCCCCTGTAGGCGTCTGAGTACCGGTCCCTGCCTGTGCGAAATTCTCCTTGGAGATGTGCCGTTGCCAGGCTGGTGTAAACCGTGGATGCGTGCTGGGGTCTTCATAAGAAACCTTGCCCTTCAGGCATGAGATTTAGGGCCTTCACACTTCCCACCATACTCAGGTGGCCGTAAACTGTATGGCAATGGTGCTTGCCTGGACACCTGCCTATCTCCATGTCACTAGTGGGTACTGGGTTTTCCTCAGGGATATTCCCCCAGGCCTGCGGCCAAAAAGGGGTTCGGCACCGATAGAGCAGGCCAAACGAATGGGCACAGAAAAGTTGGCCAATCAAATAGGCACATACATAGCAGGTCATTCAAATAGGCACAGACATAGCAGGCCAATCAAAGGGGCACAGACATAGCAGGCCAATCAATGGGGCACAGACATAGCAGGCCAATCAAAGGGGCACAGACAGAGCAGGCCCGTGATAGCGTTCCAATAGCCGTAGGGCCCATCTGCGTGTGTAGAGTCCACTATATATATATATATATATATATATATATGTATATATATATATATGTGCGTAATCAAACAGGGAAACCTTGGGTTAAATAATTTCAATATGTAAAACCCACTAGCAGGGTAGTAATGTGACTATAACAGTATTTTTACATAATACCTCTGGATTAAGTTGCTATAATGTCTCCAGTCTAATATCACAGATGTTACAGCTACTAGTGATGAAGTGCTATACCACTATACAGGGAACTGGCAGACTTTAATGTTTGGCCAAAGGCAGAAAACCAAACTGCAGGCATCTCAGAGCAGTACAGGGTATAATGCCTAAAGCCTATTCTCCAGCCCAGCAAAATATTTATATAAAATTATATTAATGTGGAGTCATCTTGGGTTATAGATTAACCCTGAGCAGGGTGAAGGGCCCTCATCTGATATAAAAAAACTCCGTCCATGATCGGAATCCGACCTTGATTGACAGAGGGGAGGAAAGCCCCTCAAACAGACCTCCAACCAGTTAGGAACAAACGGGGGAAGGGGCTGCGAGCGGTCGCACCCTCCCCCGCCCGGTCGGACACAAGCGGCCACATGGGAAAGGAGATCCGGGTGCTCGTCTCGAGCTCCCCTGCGACCGGAAAAAACACACACAGGACCGCCGAAGATGAACTCTGCGTTCCCGGAGCTCGGGGATCGAAGGAGGCAGATGCAGTCACACAGACACCGCCAGACATAAGGACAAAGGTGGAACAAAAAATATAACAACGAACATACACAAAGTTAGGAGACAGACAGGGGGGACAAGGCCAAGGGGATAGAGGAGACAGGAGGACCCCAAAGACCCCCCCAGAAATCCAAACTAAATATGTATATAACAGTGATAGCCTGAAGTTACAAGTAAAAATAAAGTCCCACAGGGGTTTTAACAAAACTGCATGTGTAAGGAAAATTTACACATGGCCAAGATAATACTGCATATAAAATGAATCCCACAAGGCCTAAATAAAAAATTCTGAAAAGATATTCAATATATAAGCATAAAAAATCCCACAATGGAAAATAAAATACTGAGTATGAAGAAATAAATCCCACAAGGAACATAACAATATTGTGTTATAAAAATAAAATCCTACAAGGATTATAACAAAACTGTATTAAACGAAAAAAATCCCACAAGGATTATAACAATACTGCATTATAAAAATAAAATCCCACAAGGATTATAACAAAACTGCATT